CAATAGATAACAGGAACAGATTTTGGTACCACAGTGAGGGGCTGCCACAACAAAGCCCAAAACACGAGGCAACAGATTGTGGACTGGGTGGTACCTGGAAGTTGGAAGGGCCTTAAAGAGACTGTTAGGAGAAGCATGACTGATCTTGGAGGATGCTGGTGCAGACTTAAAGGAAAGAGAGGAAATGTTATTAGAAGCTGAAAGAAAGGACCCATGCTTAGGAGCTAAAAGTTTAGAAACGCTGTCACCAAAGGTGACATGGAAAACAGAAAATGTACCCATTGGCCTGGGTGGTCTGGCTGAGACTTCCAGGCAGGGTACTGAAGGGACCACCTGGCTTCTCACCACCCACAGTACAACATACAAGAGAGAAATACGCTAAAGAAATAACTGCTACTACAAAGGAGTCAGGACTTGCTGGGCTGGAAATTAAAACTCTTCTCAGCTTCTCCAGATGACAAATGACGCTGAGATTAAGAAATGGCTTCTAGGCAAAAATCCAATCCAGTGGGCTGCCAGGAAAATATGGCCAAAAGATGAGACCAAGGACAAAACTGTAAGCCCTTTGTAAGATCTCAAAAAGATCGTAGGCCCTTTCAGACAGTCAAGCAGCCCTTTAAGAATCTTAAGAGCATTGTCCTCCGCCTCCCCAAGCTTTACAGGGAGCCTGAAAAAGAGGCTTATCTTGCAGAGATTTATAGGTATAGCTTTTGTTTAACAGGCTAGATTATAAATTAATTCATATGAAACCAAAAATGTTTTTAAAAGAATTATGCCAAATTGAAAAAGAACAAAGGAAATGCAAAATGAAAAAAGGCATTTGGATCCAAACTTGTATGGGTGAGAGCAGGCTGAGAACAGTATTTGGCTACAAACTGAGGCTTTTTCTTATGGACAAGGAAGGATGACTCAGAGTGTGGAATCGAGAGCCCAGGGGTCAGAGCCAAGTCTCACAAAAAAGTATTTCCAGGCGGTAAGGCTAAGCTCTAATGAAGAAACTGACAACAGGTGCCCAGCTGGATTTCAGAACTGTTATGGACCAGTGGCTGCTCTGGGCCTCCTACCTCCCCTCTTTTTGAACAAATACCTAAAGCAGTTACCCTATACCTGTGTCACCATCGTATGTTGGGACTGTGGGGTTGACAGCCTGTATCTTTAGTACACAGGTGTTCAGATCAGAGAAACTGTACTCAAGGAGCTGTGCTCAAAGAATCACACCTGAGGAGCCTCATCTGCACCTACACCTGAATTAGATGTGAAGCTCCTAGACATAAAGCCTAAGCATGAGGCCATAATACGAGATTTCTGAGGGGTCTTGAGAGGGGATGAGTATATTTTGCATGTGGGAAGGATGTAGAAACATGATAACACAGGACAGTCTGTGGAGTTTTTGTTTTGGGGGGTTTGTTTGTTGTTTGTTTTGTGGTGGTTTTTAAAGATTCCCACAAATTCTTTAGACACTCCTTCCATCAACAGATGGAGTCTAATTACCCTGCCCTTGAATATGGGTCACCCCTACCCCTAATGAACAAAATGCAGCAGCAGCAACACTGCCTCACTTCCAAGGTCAGTCCATAATGAGCGATAGTTTTTGCCTCGCTCGCTCTCAGGGTGCCATCACCTTACTATGTGGAAGCCAAGCAGCCACATGGAAAGGAAGATGAGCTGTGCCCACTTAGCCCAGCCCAGAGTTCAGGTTTATGAGCAAAATAAATGTTGTCACTGTTTTTCTTAAACAGCTTTGTTGAGTATAATTCACATACCATACAAAATTTACCCATTTAAATTATACAGTGTGTTCAATGGATTTTGGTACATTACATTATTCATTTTTAAAGTTGTGGTAATGTACACAATATAAAATTTGCCATTTTGACCATTTTTAAATGTACAATTCAATGGCATTAAATACATTCACAATGTTGTGCATCATCACCACTTTCCGTTTCCAAAACATCTGTCATCTCAAACAGAAACTGCGTGACCATTACACAATAACTCTCCATTCTCCCCCAGCCCCTATTACCCTCTAATCTACTTTCTGTTTCTGAATTTGCCTATCGTAGGTTTTCCATATAAGTGGAATCATACAATATTTCTGGGTTATTTCACTTAATGTTCTCCAGATTTGCCCATGCTGTAGCAGGTACTGAAATTTCATTCCTTTTTATGGCTGAATAATATTCCATTGTATGTATATACCATAGTTTGTTCATCCATTCATCTACTGATGAACACTTAAGTTGTTTCCACTTTCTGGCTAACATGAATAATGCTCCAATGAACACTGAGTTCCTGCTTTCAATTCCTTTGGAACACACTTAAAGGGAATATAGTCAATAATATTGTGATAAGTTTACATGGAGACAGATGATTACTAGATTTACTGGGGTAATCAAATTGTAAGGTATAAAAATGTTGAATCACTATATTGTATACCTGAAACTAATATAACCAATATAAGATTGTATATCAACTATACTTAAATAAAAATATAAATTTAATTTTTTTAAAAAGTAAAATTGCTTGGTAATAAGATTTAGCTTCTTAAGGAACTGCCAAACTGTTTTCTATAGCACTGCACCATTTTACATTCCTACAGCAAACGGATAAGGGCTCCAATTTCTCCACATTCTCACCAACACTTATTTCCCATTTTTCGATAGGAACTATCCTAGTGGGTGTGAAGTGGTATCCAGTGGGTGTGAAGTGGTATCCCATTGTGGTTTTGATTTGCATTTCCCTAATGGTGTTGAGCATCATTTCATGTGTTTATTGGCCATGTGTGTATCTTCTTTGGAGTCCTTTATCCATTTTTAAATTGGGCGGTTCATCTTTCCTTGTTGAATTATATATCTTGGATATTAAACTCTTATCAGATACATGATTTCCAAGTATTTTCTCCCCTTTTGTCAGTTTTCTTTTGACTTTCTTGGTTATGTCCTTTGATATACAAAAGTTTTTAATTTTGATAAAGTACAATTTATCTGTTTTTCTGTTTGTTACCTGTGCTTTTAGTGTCATGATCCAAAGTCATAAAGATTCACTGTTTTCTAAGAGTTTTGTGGTTTTCACCAAAATCATTGAAGCATTTTGAATTCATTTTTTGTATATGATGTGAGGTAGGGATCCAACTTTATTCTTTTGGATGTGAAAGTCCAGTTGTCCCAGCACCATCTGTTGAGACTATTCTTTCCTCCATTGAGTGGACTTGACACGGTCAAAAATCTATTGGCCAGAGATGTATGGGTGTATTTCTGGACGCAGTTCTATGCCTTTGGTCTATATATCCATTCTTATGCCAGTACTACTTTGTTGTGATTCCTGTAGCTTTCTTTATAGTACTTTTTAAATCAGGAATTTCGTTCTTCTTTTTCAAGATCATTTAGCTATTCTGACCATTTGCAATGCCATATGAATCTGAGGATCAGCTTCTCTGCAAAAAATAAAAAATGGCATTGCAATTTTGATAGTGATTGAATTGAATCTCTAGATTGCTTTAGGTTTAGTATTTAATAATATTAAATCTTCCTGTCCATAAACACAGAATGTCTTTCTGTTTACCTAGGTCTTCTTTCATTTCTTTCAGCAATGTTTTGTAATTGTCAGTGTAAAAAGTCCTTCACGTTCTTGGTTAAATTTATTCCCAATTATTTTATTATTTTAGATGCTACTATAAATGAAATTGCTTTCTTAATTTTCTTTTGGGATTGTCCATTGCAGGTGTATAGAAAGACCACTGGTTTTTGAGTAACAAGTTCTAAAACATTGCAGAGTTTGTTTATTAGTTCTCATGATTTCTTGTGGGTTCTTTACAATTTTCTATATGTGAGATCACGTCATCTGCAAATAGAGATAATTTTAATTCTTTTTGCCTATTTGCCTCTTGCTACTTGAACTTCCAATACAATATTGAATAGCAATGGAGAAAGCAAGCATCCTTGTCTCATTTATGATCTTAAGAAAAAGGATGATGTCAGTTATAGATTTTTCATAATATCCTTTATCATGTTGAAAAAGTTCCCTCTTCTAGTTTTTGCAGTTTTCATCATGAAAAGGTCTTGGAATTTTGTCAAATGGCTTTTTTATATCAACTGAGATGATGATGTCTGTTTTTTCTCTTCATTTTATTAACATGAAGCATTACATTGATTTATTTTCTTATGTGAACCACCTTGATTTCAGGATAAATCCCACTTTGTCATCAACCCCACTTGCTCATCGCGTATAATCCTTTTATAATGTGCTGTTGAACTAGGTTTACTAGTATTTTGTTGGATATTTTTGCATCTTTATTTGGAAGGGATACTCATCTATAATTTCCTTTCCTGTGATATCTGCATCTGGCTTTCATACTGGGATAATGCTAGCCTCAAAGCATGAGGAGGTCATCCTTTGCACATTTTTTTCTGGCCTCTGACCAACTCCTCCATCTTCTAGTCTCCTGTCTACCTTGGGTATTTGGGGCCATCTTCATGGAAATCTGATAGATGTGGCCCCTGCAACACAGCATGGCACCTTTCGAACTCATCCCATTTCCTATCTGATCCCAGAGAGCACGAAGTTAAACAGCTCAGTGAGGGCTCATATCCACAGGCATCGTAAGGCCAGACACGGTGTCTCCCTCGCTGTCCCATTCCCGCCACACTGCTTAGTGCATAATAGGTGTTCAATACATATGGTTTGGTGAATGAATAATTATAGATATATCACACCTTGGGCAGGCAGATGATAAAACTTTTATTGTTCAAGTGCTCCATGTTTCCAAATAATCAGTAAAGTTATATTTATAACCCAAAGGATGAACCCTCATAAAATGTTTTGAAATCCACAAAATAACAGTGCTGCAAACTAGCCCACTGTCACCAAGTGGAGAAGATCAGAGGAAATGGCTGCTCAATTCATCTGGGGTGCAGAAGACAGATCTAGGCGAGGAGGGAGTGAGAAATGGGACGTTTCAGGAGAAAGAAGAAGCATGTGATGAACAAAGTCACACTCACCCTTATCATAATCCTCCTCCTCCACGGCTCTTTCTTGGAGTTTCTGAAGCTTTAATCTCAAGGAGTTCACCTATGTTGTTTTGGGGGAGAAAAATGAAAACCAATTACAATAGCATTCAAGCCAACTTCCTTTCGTGAAGTTAAGGGCACTTTAGAAACTACTTCACAGACTGAACTTCTCTGTTTCCTTGAAAAAAGGAACCACAAGCATACATTTTCCAATGCCAGGGGGATTTGTTTCTCACGCACAAAAAAGTGATGGAAAGGAAAAGTGTAACTCGAGCATAAAATCCAGAGTTAAAATGTTATTTTAAACAAAACCATCACACCGTACCCTTATCTACATGAAAAGTGCATAACAAAAAGGAACACACACACATTTCCTGACCTGACCAGACAGTCTCTGTTCTAAAAAATCAGATTAAAATTAGGAAGGTGAACACCCCGCAGCTGGAAGGGGAACCAGAAGCAGCATGGATTTTAACTCAGCAGCTGGGCTGCAGGCTGGGTGACGGTGACAGGACTTCACAAAAGCCCTGTAGGGAGTGCAAAGGCCCACAGACTTTCCTTTAGAGAAAAGGGCATGGTCTTATTTAACCCACAGTAGGCCCAATGACCCCACCATTTGCCGGAGAATTACTATGAGTTCATTTATAATTATTATTATTCTCAGCAGGAGGCCCAGGGATTTTTTTTTTAGATGGATTGTTGGCCTTTCAATGAATGAATTTGGACTGGTTCCCTGAAAAACACCTCCCTCCCATCTTTGCCTGGCTACACCTACAGGGAACCAGTCCAAATTCATTCATTGAAAGGCCAATGACACCTGGTTCAGGTGTCACCCCCTCCAGCCTACGCTGAATGTCCTTCCCTTACACTGCCACTGTGACCTGTACGTGTTCTACTCAGATCATCCGTTTAACCAGTGTTTACTGAGTGCCTCTCAGGTGTCAAGCACTGTTTGAGGTGCTGAGATACAGCGCAAAATTCTCAGCCCTCGAGATGTACATTCTTGTGTCAGAAGACAAAAAAATACAGATAATAAGTTTTATGGAGCCTTAAAAAGTGATTTGTGCTATAAAAGAAAAATATAGGCCTAATTAAGGGGATCAGGAATGGTAGGCGGTGGGGCTGCGATTTTAAATAAGATCTCACTGAGAAGGTGACACTTGAGCAACAATATGAAAGTGGTAAGGGAGCAAACCCTGGGGCTCTCTGGGAGAGAAACATTCCAACAGAAAGCACAGCCAGCGTGAAGGCTCTGGGCACAGCGCTCCTGGCTGTGCGAGTTACAAGCAGGACGGCGCCTGGGCCCCCAGAGGAGGGATTAAAGGGGGAATCGGGGCAGGCGAGGTCAGAGAGGCGATGAGAAAGGCATCATGAAGAGACATGAAGACCATTTAAACTTCTGATTTTACTCTGAGGGTCACTGAAGCTGATTTATGTTTGACCACTTCCTTCTGACTGCTCTGGGCAAGGGCAGAAGGCCGGGGAAATAGCCGGGACGGAGGCGAGGTGGCGTGGATTGCGGCGGGAGCAGAGGAGGTGGTGAGCAGCGAGGGGCTTCTGGGCGCATCCAGAAGGTGGCTGGTGGAAGATAAAGCCAACAGACTTGCTAATGGGTCCCGTGGGGGAGTGAGAACCAGTTAGGATGACGCCAGGGCTTGGTCTGAGCCACCGGAAGAAAGGAGCTGCAGAAGTTACCCGTGGAGCTTATCACACCACGTCACAGCTCTCCTTCTGTCTTGACCTGTGTTGTCTGTGCCCTCCATTCACCCTCGAGCATCTGGAGGGCAGAACTACTTTGTGTCCATGTAGAAACGCAGCGCTCGCCGTGACGCGGTTCTCCACTGCTCCGGACACACGGACGGAATACACTCCCCTCCTCGCCCCTCCCCTCCTTGGTCTGCTTAATGGGTGTGAGCGGAAGGGGGAGAGGCCGCTCCTGCACTGAAGCATTTGATTGCTCCTGTAGGACCGCTGAGTGTCCTCCACCTGGACTCAGTAACTGAGGGGCCACGCGACCAGGGGGTGCAGGCTGGGCTCCCGAGGGACTGGGAGCAGAGCCCCAGCCACCTCTGCGGAACGTCAACATAAGCAAGAAACAAGATTCTGGGATGTCACGCCTCCGATATGTGCAGCTGCCTGTTACTAACCCGTCCTAACTAACACAGTCTGATATGTGCGGCTGTCTGTTACTAACCCGTCCTAACTAACACAGTCTGATATGTGCTGCTGCCTGTTACTAACCCGTCCTAACTAACACAGTCTGATATGTGCTGCTGCCTGTTACTAACCCGTCCTAACTAACACAGTCTGATATGTGCTGCTGCCTGTTACTAACCCGTCCTAACTAACACAGTCTGATATGTGCTGCTGCCTGTTACTAACCCGTCCTAACTAACACAGTCTGATATGTGCTGCTGCCTGTTACTAACCCGTCCTAACTAACACAGTCTGATATGTGCTGCTGCCTGTTACTAACCCGTCCTAACTAACACAGTCTGATATGTGCTGCTGCCTGTTACTAACCCGTCCTAACTAACACAGTCTGATATGTGCGGCTGCCTGTTACTAACCCGTCCTAACTAACACAGTCTGATATGTGCTGCTGCCTGTTACTAACCCGTCCTAACTAACACAGTCTGATATGTGCTGCTGCCTGTTACTAACCCGTCCTAACTAACACAGTCTGATATGTGCTGCTGCCTGTTACTAACCCGTCCTAACTAACACAGTCTGATATGTGCTGCTGCCTGTTACTAACCCGTCCTAACTAACACAGTCTGATATGTGCTGCTGCCTGTTACTAACCCGTCCTAACTAACACAGTCTGATATGTGCTGCTGTCTGTTACTAACCCGTCCTAACTAACACAGTCTGATATGTGCTGCTGTCTGTTACTAACCCGTCCTAACTAACACAGTCTGATATGTGCTGCTGTCTGTTACTAACCCGTCCTAACTAACACAGTCTGATATGTGCTGCTGCCTGTTACTAACCCGTCCTAACTAACACAGTCTGATATGTGCTGCTGCCTGTTACTAACCCGTCCTAACTAACACAGTCTGATATGTGCTGCTGTCTGTTACTAACCCGTCCTAACACAGCCTGATATGTGCGGCTGTCTGTTACTAACCCATCCTAACGAACACAGTCTGATATGTGCTGCTGCCTATTACTAACCCGTCCTAACTAACACAGTCTGATATGTGCTGCTGTCTGTTACTAACCCGTCCTAACTAACACAGTCTGATATGTGCTGCTGTCTGTTACTAACCCGTCCTCACTAACACAGTCTGATATGTGCTGCTGCCTGTTACTAACCCGTCCTAACTAACACAGTCTGATATGTGCTGCTGCCTGTTACTAACCCGTCCTAACTAACACAGTCTGATATGTGCTGCTGCCTGTTACTAACCCGTCCTAACTAACACAATCTCCAAAGCCAGGCGCACGGTGCTGCACAGTCATCAGCAAATTCTTTCTGAATGAACGAAAGAACGAATGATCACGTCGACCCCTTTACCATGAAGTGCCCCACGTGACAAGTGCAAACTTCATCAGTGACTCGGTCCTAAACGCTAGTGATGGGAGACAGGCTGAGTGACCATCACCACATCCAAGCGACAGCGTCACTGAATACGAGCCAGAGCTGGAGCAGAGGAACCACAGAAACAAAGGTCAGAGAACACTCGTCTACAGCCGATGCCCACAACACCGCCCCCCTCGTCCAACTATCCTGCAGGACCTGAGCTGTTGCCCGGGTTCATGTCTGAATGTCCATGTCCGCCGGAAGCACAGCCGCTGGCCGGAGTGGCTTACACAGGGGCCCCTCCCACGGAAGGCAGGCAGTTTCCCTCCTTTTCCTCAAAGCCCCCCCCCCCCGTGGGCCTAACCTGCAGGGAGCTGCCCACTGCCTTCCTCTGCACACCGGTTAGCATCTCCTTTTATCGCAATTTTCTCAGCCCCAACCAAGCCCTGGCAATGGCCCTGGGTGGCTATTTTTATACAGCGGGAGCAGAGAAGATGGGGAGGAGTGATCTGAACCATCGCTTCCAGGGGGAAATACAGGGTTGGGCTCCTGAGAACCTCTGGCCACAACATTCCTGTCAACTGATCGTATAAAATGCATCTGTGTTTTATGTGTGTTTCAGCTGAAAGATGTGTTATTAACTACATACGGCTGATTCATCAACACTGAATGCACAGCGCGACAACGCACCCCTGGGAGATGCTCCCCACGCGTGTTTTCTCCACGGCACACAGCCCAGCCCTTGTGCACCCAGGAGCGCAGACAGCACTGCAGCCGGCACTAGGGGCTGTTTCGAACAGTGGAATCGCCAACAAAACACACAAAACANTAAAATGCATCTGTGTTCTATGTGTGTTTCAGCTGAAAGATGTGTTATTAACTACATACGGCTGATTCATCAACACTGAATGCACAGCGCGACAACGCACCCCTGGGAGATGCTCCCCACGCGTGTTTTCTCCACGGCACACAGCCCAGCCCTTGTGCACCCAGGAGCGCAGACAGCACTGCAGCCGGCACTAGGGGCTGTTTCGAACAGTGGAATCGCCAACAAAACACACAAAACATATGAAAAACGTGGTACTAAACAGATCACCTGTCTACAGATGAGAGCTGAAACAGGCAGGCAGAATGTCACCGGGGGTGACCTCGGCTGGGAACGTGCCCGTTGGGCAACGCGAATTTCCAGCCATTCTGCGCATGTTCACCAGGTGACCAGGAGAGGGTTCTGACACTGACTCTGCAGTTAACAATAAGTTTTATCAAGTAAATGAATTCGCAAATACAGAAACCGCACATACTGAGGATGGACTGTTTTAAAAGACGACAAGACTCAAATTCCTTAAGGAGCAGGGAGAGGGGTTAAATATTCTAATATTCTAAAGAATTAGAATATAACATCTAAAGTCCCAAAAACACTGGAATCCCAAGTTTCAAAGGGATCTTTTTGAAGATCCTTAGCCAATCCCTTTCCCCAGTCATGAAAGCCTCCCCAGTAGCCCAAATCTGCAATTTGCGGCCTCAAAAAGCAGGGCCTCCCAAGCGACCCCCTGGTCACAGACAATTCCACTACCAGGGCCTCTTCCCCCTGCAAGCTCTGCACCCTGGACAGGGTTCCTTCCATCGCTCCCACCACACTGAATGAACTTCATTCCTCTTCCTACAAGAGACATCAAATAATTAAAAATGCATCAAGTTTCCCTTGTTCGGGTATTAGATTATCACAAACAAAGATACTTAAACTACAAGTAAATTGTGTCCTGATCCTATCATTTGACATTTGACGCATCTGAGTGTGGGTTGGGGGAGGGGGGCAGCCTTGTGGGACCTTAACCTATGGAACCTGATGTTATCTCCAGGTAAATATCGTCAGAATTGAATTAAGTTAGCCCCGACCGTGTGGCTCAGTTGGCTGGGCATCGGCCCGTGCACTGAGGGGTTGCTGGTTCGATGCCTGGTCAGGGCACATGCCTGAGTTGTGGGTTCAGTCCCCCATAGGGGGCACGCAGGAGGCAGCCGATCCACGTTAAACGTTGATGTTTCTCTCTCCCGCTCCCTTTCTCTCTAAAAAATCAATTTAAAAAAAACATTTTTAATTAAGTTGTAGGATGCCCAGCTGGTGTTGGAGAATTGTTGGTGAGGGAACCCCATCCCCCATGTTATAAGGGTGACTCGAATCCCTTCAGTGCCTTTGTCCTTTGGGTGGTGGCCTCTCAGATTCTCTTCCTTTGCCTTAGTCAGTCAATCCAAAAAAAATCTGTCAATTAGAATCTGTGGCCCATCTTATCAAGATTAATTACTTTGCTGAAAACAAAAATGAAGGAAGCACCTGCTGAGGACCAGAAAGTGTGCTGGGCAACAAACATCCAAAGATGTCCCAGAGGAGTGACCTAGTTACGGAGCTCATGGTCAAGTGCAGAACTTGGACCCACAAACAAACTATTAATGGTGAGTGCTGTAATGGGGCATGTCCAAAGTGCTTTGGGAACAAAATGGAAGAGGGGTTCATTTGCTCTAGATGGGGGAGGAAATGTCACACAAGGAAGTGGCTCTGAAGCCACACCAGGAAGGATCAATAGGAGCCTGGCAGGTGGGAAGGTGTAGGAAGGAAATTCCAGGCAGAGGAAAACTGTGAGCAAAGGCCTGAGGCGCAGCTGTTCCCGGTGTCTTCAGGAACAGGAAGCAGCTCCAGATGGCCCAGCGGCAGGAGGAAGGCTCCCCCAGTGCAGGCTGGGGCGGGCTGGGGAAGGTCTCGATTATCAAGATAAGGAACTTGGATACTATCCCGAGGAGCAATGAGCCACCAAAGGTTTTGAACAGAGAAATAACACTCTCCCGCCCCTGCCTGGGAAGATAACTCTGCTGGCCATGCAGAGGATGAGCTGAAGGAAGGTAAATACATCCAGAATCCTTGCAAACCCAGGTGAAAGACAACACGAATCTGAACCGTGGGAGGTGCATTAGCCGTGGGAGTAAGAGGCCTTGGAGACTGACACGACGTGGGGGGGTTGAGGATGGTTGCAGTTTCTCTAAGGAGGTGGATGGATGGATTCTATTATTTCAAATCAACAAATATTTATTGAGGGGGGCCCTTTAGAACAGGTTTGGTGGGGAAGACAATGGCGTCTGTTTTGGACTCATCTAACTCAAGGATTCCATGCATTACCTAGGGACAGAGGTCCGCATGGGTGGCCTGGCTTTGTTATCTCCTTGGGTTATAAATCAGAAGGCTGGGATGGGGTCCCTGAGGGCAAGAACATCAGGCCACAGGTAAAGAACTGAGAGTAAATGAGATGCGACGACTGGGAATGAACATCTTCAGGGACTTCTACCAATGCCTGATGAGTGGGTGCCCTACTTCCCTGCTCCACATGTACATATGTATGCATGGACACATATACACACCTGTACACACATGTGCGTATACACAAACACACACCCCAGAAGAAAAACACAGTCTTTCACTAGGATTAGCCACACAGCCCAGTGGGCAGCCACAGAGCACCTCTGCCCGGGTTTCTCTGGAACTTCTGGGGTGGAGCCACCTTGCCTGCCCACAGTTGTACCAGCTCTCAAACAGCTGGGGGACAGCACCAGCACCGTCACAGTGTGATCATGATGCTCAGATGTACAAGTACACAGTCCACCCTAATTTCCAAAGCACTGACATTCTCATCTGAGCCACAGGTCGGTCCTGTGCAGTGTTATCATCTTTAAACAAGGAAGCTGAGGGCCCGTGAGGTTTGACCAGAAAGGAACTCCAGCAGGAGGTGCCCACTGCAGGAGGGTCACGCCCAGCGCGGGCATCGCCCCTCTATCTCTCCGGCCCCTGCTCGCTGCCTGTCCCCTCTCCCTGGCCTGTCAAAGCAGAGCTGGGCTGCACTATCCATGCATCACCTAGAGCAGGAAAGGCAGGGGAGCCCTCGGCCCCACAGAGAGCAATCTGACCACCTAATGACAGGATGAAAGGAGAAGAGATTTTGTTCAAAAGGAAAGAAGAGAAACAGAAGTGCAGCAACATCTTCCTGCCACCAGCCACCAGCCACCAAGGAGCTGCTGCAGCTTCAGGGGAAGTCGGTCAGCCCCAGAACCACTCGTTTCCTGCCCTCTGCCCAGCTAATCTGAGCCTGTGAGCCTCGTGGGGCCCAGAGGCTGGGAGACACCGACCTCCAGCTGCCTGCGGTTGCTGAGCAGACATTCCAGAAGCAGGGGTTCGCACCTCCTGAGCAGCAGGTCCCAGTGGAGAGCAGCCCCCTCGAGCTCTGAGGGATCAGAGGAGCATGAGGAGGCGGCGTCTGTGTTCAATACAGAAAGTGGCTCACACTCCGGCCTAGGGCTGCCCCCTGCAGTCTGGGCAGAGTCCGCAGGGCCCTGAGCAACCTTGAGACTGAAGGGGGGAGCGGAAAGTCTGGGCTCCTCTCGGGGCCTGTCCAAGCTGGTGGCCTTGGCGTCCGTGTCCTCGGCCTCTCTGGAGGGTGGGCAGCCTTCCGCTTCTCCCCGTTCCCCGGCGGAGCTGAGTGAGAGCTGGATGAAGCTGAAGCTGGAGGTGAAGGCCACCTGAGAGCTGGCAGGGGCTGAGGGGACCTTGGGGCCACTTCCGAGGCTGCAGCTGGTGTCACCCACATCCTCTGGGGCCAGACAGTCTTCTGCCCAGGCGCCCCACGCTCCTTCACCACAGGCAGCATCCCGATGCGGGTCCAGGGCCTCAGAACTATCCATGGGTGGGAGCTCCCCCCGACACCCAGTGTCCCCAGGGCCACACAGCCTGGTCAGCCTGTTGGGCAGTTTGGTGCCAGCTCTGAACTGAATCCCAAAGAACCCCGAGGTCCCTCTTGCTGGGGTCCGAGCGAGGCCCAGGTGGCCCCCACAGGCGAGAGCTGAGGCTGCTGTGCTCTTGGGAAGAGGGCTCCCAACCACGGGGCCTCGCCACTGGCCTCCAGGGTCAAGGCTGCATCGTCCAGCCCTGGACTCAGAGTGGTGGGACTTCTCACCACACGCCCCTGCCTGGGCCCGGAACGAAGCACCCACGGCAGGGGACAGGAACCTGATCTGGGGCCCAGCGTCGCTTCTCATGTAGCCGGGTTTCCGTGCCAGCCGCCTCCTCTGAAAACACACTGCAGGTGGCAAGCAATCCTGGCTGCCTGGGAAGAGAGAAAAACAGCACATTAAACACACAGATCTCACGGGCTCAGCGGGAACTGTGTTTGGAGGACATCCCTAGTTTTAGAGGTCACCTCTGGGTGCATCTGAGATGCTGGTTCAGGAGTCGGGGGTCACCCCAGTCTGAAAATTCTGATGATCCCTGGGAAGTGTTTGCTTGGCCGTGTGGAAACAACACGGGTCTCAGCTCCTCTGTTTAGGAGAGCAGCTGGCACTGCTGTGAGTTATGCCAACACGTCAGCTTGTACTCGGAGCCACAACCTTGGCAGCTCCTCTGGACCCTCCAGCATCTCGCCTGTTGGTCTTTTAGGAACATCAGCACTTTCATCCCGGAGTCAGCCCGGAAAGCAAACGACTTGAAACGAACACCAGCACACTCCTCGAAATGAGACCCAATCGCTCATTCCAGCTCCTCAGTGACAATATGGAGGTTTCCATTATCTGAGCCATCCATGTCCCCTCATGCCAGTGGACCACAGACAGCTGGATACCACACAGTTTATGCCCATCGATTCATCTCACACTGTGGACGACAGGAGGCCCTGCTTGAAGAGTTCCCCAAACCAGGGACTGTGTTCCCTCCTGGCTATGCAGGAAGAACAGGAACAATAAAAAATGCTGACACCTCACAGCAGCAGGACAGACTCCGGCACCTCAATGCCTGGTTCGAACCCTGGCCGTGCCACTGCTGGCTGTGTGACCTTCCACAAGTTACTTAACCTCTCTGTGCTTCAGTTTGCTTATCAGTAAAATGGAGATAGTAGCAGTACCTATCTCATAGGGCAGTTGTGAGCATTAAGTTAAATGAGCTACTATATGTTGACAGCTGAGAACAGTGCCTGGCACATGTAATAAGTGTGATAAAAATGTTGGTTACTATTTTTACATTGCATAGCACCTTGTCACTCATGGTATGTTTTCATCAGCATTAATTTCCTTTGAACCCCACCAAAATCATGTGAATCAACCAGACCAGGAAAATAACCTCCCTTTTATAGTTAAGGAAACTGAGGCTCAGAGACANGGATGGATGCTTGGATAGGAGAGAAGGAGGGATGGAGAGATGGATGGATGGAGGGATGGAGGGACGGATGGAGGGATGGATGGATGGACGGATGGGTGCTTGGATGGAGGGAGGGATGGACGGACAGAGGGATGGATGGATGCTTGGATAGATGGAGGGATGGAGGGATGGAGGGATGCTTGGATAGNACAAGAACAGGAACAATAAAAAATGCTGACACCTCACAGCAGCAGGACAGACTCCGGCACCTCAATGCCTGGTTCGAACCCTGGCCGTGCCACTGCTGGCTGTGTGACCTTCCACAAGTTACTTAACCTCTCTGTGCTTCAGTTTGCTTATCAGTAAAATGGAGATAGTAGCAGTACCTATCTCATAGGGCAGTTGTGAGCATTAAGTTAAATGAGCTACTATATGTTGACAGCTGAGAACAGTGCCTGGCACATGTAATAAGTGTGATAAAAATGTTGGTTACTATTTTTACATTGCATAGCACCTTGTCACTCATGGTATGTTTTCATCAGCATTAATTTCCTTTGAACCCCACCAAAATCATGTGAATCAACCAGACCAGGAAAATAACCTCCCTTTTATAGTTAAGGAAACTGAGGCTCAGAGACACAAACATTCTGGAAACACCTGCAAATGGCCAGGTGACCAGTGCCCAAGTCTCCTGAACGCGCTGGCCTGTGTGGTGCTCTCCTCTTGGGGCCCTGACACA